GCTTGTATCAGCGGCTTGTATCAGCGGCTTGTATCAGCAGCTCGTATCAGCAGCTTGTATCAGAGCCTCTGCATCAGCATCCTCTGTATCAGCAGCAGCAAGTTTCTGTGTCAGCACCAAGCTTCTGTATCAGTGGACGCTATCAGCGGGTGCTATCAGCAGACTACATACTATCAGCGGAAGCCCCTGTATCAACGGCTCCTCTGTATCAGCAGGGAGCTTCCGTATCATCATCTCCGTATCAGTGAGCCTCAATATCAGCATCCTCCGTATCAGCAACTCGTACTATCAGCATCCTCTGTATCACCAGCTCCTCCGTATAAGCAACTTGTATCAGCAGCTGGTATCAGAGCCTCCATATCAGCGAGTGTCCTCTGTATCAGTGAGTGTCCTCCGTATCAGTGAGCCTYTGTATCAGCATCCTCCTCCGTATCAGCAACTCGGATCAGCGGACACCGTATCAGCGGCTCATATCAGAGGCTCCTTGTATCAGGGACTTGTATCAGGGATTCATATCACTGGCTCCTCTGTATCAGAAGCAAGCCTCTGTATCAGCCGCACGCCTCTGTAACACCAGCATCCTCCGTATCAGCAAGCCTCTGTATCAACATCCTTTGTATCAGCAACTCGTATCAGCCGACACTGTATCAGCGGACGCCGTATCAGCAGGGAGACTCTAACACTGAGCCTCCGTATTAGCTGATTAATCAACAGCTCCAGCTCTAGCTGTAGCTTGCTCTGATACAGCAAGCAATAGAGCAAGATATACAGCAAGCAATACACCAAGTAATACAGCAAGATATACAGCAAGCAATACACCAAGCAATACAGAAAGATATACAGCAAGCAATACAACAAGCAATACAACAAGCAATACAACAAGCAATACAACAAGCAATAGCTTCAGTCCCAGCTCCAGCTCCAGCTAGTACTACTACTATGTGAAAAACAGAAGTAGTACCAGAAATAGTAATACTAGTAGTTGTTGTACTTTCAGTACTAGAT